ATAATAAATAATGGTGAGAGAATATTTTAGCCCCGGGCCTCAGAAAAAGAACTCTGGTGGCATTATACAATTTTCATTAACACTAGCTGAAGGAGTAGTTCTAAAGGGTAGTTTCAATTTCCTAAGTGTCTCAGCAGTAGACTATGTAAAATCACAATAGGCAAGGAACACCTTTTAGTTGAAAGCCATCCTTTTTGCCATGGAATTTATATCTAGTCCTTACAGAAGAGAAAGAGAGAGAAAGAGAGAGAGAGAGAGAGAGAGAGAGAGAGAGAGAGAGAGAGAGATATGCCCACATTTCCATTACTCATTGTATTACATTCAAAAAAATTTTTAAGTAAATAACACTTAAAAGCATTGGAATTTACTTAGTATTTATTGTGTACCTACCAGTGTAAGCTCAGAGCACGCACGTGTATGAGGCCAGCTGCAGCTGTGCCCTGCACAATCAACAAGGCCATTTACAGCCAGCCCTGAAGAACACAGACTTCGGAGTTGGCAGATCTGGAATCAAGTGACCCTAACCATGTGACTGTGAGCAAGTTAATGAACCTCGCTTAATACAGTTTGCATATGCATAAAATAAGGGTAATAATATCAACCACCACCAAGGGTTATTGAGCAATAAATGCAAATGAAACACATAAGACACTCCCTGCCAGAAGTTAGTGAGCTATGAAACTTAACTGTTTAATTTGTTATTATTACCACCATGTACCAGCCTTTGTATTAAGTGCCGGAGGGTGGGGGGGAATGCTGAATATGAGACACCTGTAACTTTAGAGATTAAACTCTATTGCTAAATATTAAGAAACCATATCATTCTTATTTAACTGTTACCATGAAAATGGACATCTACAATATGATGATGTAGCTTTCTCATCTCCTACTAACTGATATCATCAGTAGTCCACTAAGGCCTGATGTATCTGTAGTCTTGTGGCAGCCACACTGTACAAATTGTAGTTCCCCAAGTGCCACGGCTCCCCCAAAACCCAAGAAAATAGACTAGAGTAGGGTGGGGGTAGAACCGATAACAGCAAATATGAATAGTACAATGAAGTATTAACCAAGAAGACTGTCTAATTTTGTAAAAGGCAAATCAAGTGCAAGACCATCGTAGTGTTTTTTAGCATTTATGTAAGGACCAAGAAAATGCATTTTGAAATCTTGTCCTTTCCACCCCAAGGTTGACAGCAGAATTATTATTCTTCAATGCTACCAAGGAAGACCTAGAAGTCAGGAATATTATTGACAGCAGAATGGATTCCTCACCTTGAGGGAACTTTCATACAAACTCTTGTCTCTTCCCAATGCCCATCAGCCCATTAATCACAACAGTTTCTTTCCACAGATCTCTCTTCAAACTCTTACTCCCCAAGTATGTCTCAGCCGCTCACACGTTGCCTAAAATAGAGTTGTATTTAGTTATTACCTTGAGTGAGCGCAAAATAGGTCCCAAAGTATACCTATATTTAGTGGCTACCTGGGTAAAAAAGAAACGTTACAGTGAGGGCTGCTTCTCAGAAATAAATATGCCCAGTTATTCTAGTTACACTGTAGTGGTTCTTACGGGGGCATTGGGGTTGGCGGAGGGGGGGCGGGGGGAGGTTGTTCCTCAGGGCATACTTGGATTTGTTTAGAGATACATTTGTTGTCACAGTTGGGAAGATGCTACTAACTTTTGGAGAATATAGGCTGTGCCTAGACTCTGGTTAATCAAGGTAGGGCTTAGGGCTCATAATTTAAGAAGGCATTCACTCACCCTTGGGATAATGCCAATGCAAGATGAAAATGTCCATGACCCTGAAAATGAGGGCCTCCTTACAATACTGTGCCCTAGCTGCCTCCCTGGCCTCACGCTAGTCCTGATCCTGGTTAGCGGCCAGGGATGCAGCTAAACATCCCCACAAAAGAAATTATCCAGTTCAAGATGTCAAAAAGGCTGAGGTTGGGAAACCCAGGCTAGTTCAGAGAATCTAAAGAAAAGCTGGGTTGGAAACTTCTGACTCCTACCCTTTCCACTGAAAGGTACAAATTTAAAATCACAGGCATGTTAAATGTGCCTAAAGGTGAAATAATACCACATTCTAGCATTTAGGTTTAACCTGTTCTATCCCTATTAAACATACATAGCCGACAGTGGAGTTAAATTAATCTGACCCTCTTTCCTGGCCTCTGTGCACAGGCCCCAGTCTTTCCTCTGCTGGTGTCACTCACGCATCTCACCTCCCTTTAAGGTCCAGATGCAAAGATACCTTCTAGTTGACATCTTCCCATCAAAATGTGGCCCCTTCCTTCTCAGACTTCTTTCTTTCCCTCATGGTCCTTATTGCACACGTCATCTATTTACTTATTTAACTCACCCCATCCCCACTCCCCAACACAAACATGCACACAAATACACAATACTGATTTAGCTTCCTAGGGCCATCGGCCAGGTTTTCTTTACTGATTTCAGAGAGAGAGGAAGGGAGAGGAAGAGAAACACTGATTGGATGCCTCCTGCATGTCCCCTACTGGGGATCGAGCCCCCAGCCCGGGTATGTGCCCTGACCAGGAAAGGAACTGGCAACCTCTCCATGCATAGGAGGACGCTCAAGCGAGCCACACCAGTAAGACTCAGGCTTTCTTTATATTTACTTTCCCAACCACCTGAATGTAGAACAGTGCTTTGAACATGTAAAGTACTCAATGTGTTTTAAATAGGTCAGTGAAGCAAGTATCCTATATAATAAAAGCCCAATATGCTAAGTGTCTGGTCATCGGGTCGTCCGTTCAACCAATCAAAGCAAAGTAATATGTTAATGATAGGCTAAGGCCACTCAACTGCTCGCTATGATGTGCACTGACCAACAGGGGACAGGCAGTCGACCAGTTACTGTGACGTGCACTGACCACCAGGGGGCAGATGCTGTGGTAAGTAGGTTAGCTTGCTGCTGGGGTCTGGCCATGCCCTGGAGACCTCTTGCAGTCCTTCCCCAGCTGGTCAATTTCCTGCATCCCTCCTCAGTCCCGATCATGCGCTGGTGGGGGCCCTCAGCCTGGCTCCACAAGCCAGCCTAATGGCTGGCAAGAAAAGTTGTGGTGGTGGGAGCCTCTCCTGTCTCTGCAGCAGTGCTAAGGATGTCCCCCGAGGGCTCTCAGGCTGTGAGAGGGCACAGGCCGTGCTGAGGGACTCCCCCAGTGCACGAATTTCATGCACTGGGCCTCTACTACATGATAACACATAACAGACAGCATGAACCATAATATTTCCTGGTGGCTATCTAAATCTAAATATAACATTGGATTATTAGGCCTGGTACCAATTTTTTTTTTTTTCCTGGCAGATGTTTCCATCTATTTCAAGTCTGATATCCCAGAATTCTTGAGGTTTATCTTCCGCAGGTAACTAACTTGACATTTTGCTATAAATAAAAGTAAAAAATTGGATGTATTTTCCCCCAAAAGACCTATTCTAACAGCAAAATATCTTTGAGCCTAAATTCAAGAAGCTATGAGCCTAAAGAAGAAAATAAATCTAATTCCTAATAACAGTTGAAGAAGCAGCTTTGTAGTATGTCAAACTCTTCAGGAAGCCAAATAGATGCAGCCTGAAAGCACATTTCCATTAATCTCTATCTCACCCTTGACCTTAAAACTATTCTGAAACGTTTCTAATTTTGAATTTAACCAAGAATAAATTACAACAATCTGTCATTAATATCCATCTATAATACGACTCCTTTTAAAAGAGAAAACAAAATCCTTATACAAATTTTCCAGCTAATTTGTCCTTGAAACAAATATATCTTATGTTTCTAATATGTAACTTGAAAAAGGAAACTGAAGTCTTTCCCCCTATGGACACTATGAAACTACTGATTTTAATCACTTAATCTTCTTATCAGAGAACCTGCTTAACCTTTAACTAGTACCTGGAAAGATTAAATACTACTGGTAATCTTACAAGTTTATTATGAAACAGCTATTGTCAACAAATAACTCTGCTGAAAATTAAATGCATATATAGTCCATGATAACTTTCAAAACTTGAGGTCACAAAGTTACTGTGTTAGTTTTTCTTGGGGTGCTGTTTGATTCTGTGACAAATAAGAATCATTTTAATTGTTTGGCCCATAGCCATTAGTTGGGAGAAAGGAGCTGACTCATTCTGAGCACCCAGTATGAGGCAAGTAATTTCCATGGTTGCTTCATTCAACACTTGTAAAATCCCTGCTTCATTTAACACTTGTAAAATCCCACCTTTTGCAAAAGAAGTGGCCTCATGAGGTTTAGCAAGTTGCCCACTGGTATACAGTGCTTCTGCAAATATGATCATCCAGCTGTCAAACTACTACTATCCACAAAATGTCCCAGATTCTATGTAACCTATGACAGGCAGAAAACATGTTCCTATTTTAAGAGTGTTCTACTAGTGGACTAATATATGCAACTTGATTTTAAACTATAATCATGTTCAAGGTCAATCAAGGACTGTGAGCTTCCCAAAGAGGAAATGCACCACACCAAAGAGAGTGACCAAAACAGGAGGCCATCACTGTGCTGGGTTTTCAGTGGTGTACACAAACAGGGTGTGCACAAAGAGAAGGGAGGGAGAGTTGGGAGGTATCACAGTTCCCACAATGCTAATCCAGTTCTCACTCCTCTGTGCCTTGTTCCAACTGATGATTTTGGCTTACTTGTATAAGGCACTTTAGTGCCTCTTATGTAGCATAAAAAGATGTAAACGTGTTTGTCTTTTTCAAAAAAGTTTACATGCAATACATAAAAAATTTAAAAAGCAAAATAATACATAAGTTCCAAAATTATTATCCAATCAGAGAGTGCTAGGAAAATTCAAAGGAATCCCTAACCGGTTTGGCTCAGTGGATAGAGTGTCAGCCTGCGGACTCAAGGGTCCCAAGTTCGATTCTGGTCAAGAGTATGTACCTTGGTTGTGGGCACATCCCCAGTAGGGAGTGTGCAGGAGGCAGCTGATTGATGTTTCTCTCCTATTGACGTTTCTAACTCTCTAGGTCATCAAGACTGACATTGTTAAAAGGGATGGGATTTGAGCTGCCTTTGAAGGACAAGCTACATACCAATAGGTACAGACTACAGAAAAATATACTAAATTGAGAGATCAAAAGTTTGGATACAGAAAGGCACATAGCATATTTGGGGAATGAGCTAAAAATGAAATTTAAGACACAGAGGCACACATTCTTAAAGGCTCTGTAGCAGAAGATTTTTATAGCAATGACATAAATATTGCCACCCAATTCAACTAAAAAGTTGCTGTTGCCGAAACCGGTTTGGCTCAGTGGATAGAGCGTTATGAGTAGATCATTTTTGTATTTTGATGTAT